GCGATTGTGCATTATCACGAAGCAAAGTTACTTTGTGTCGCCTTTTTTGATATTCTGGTCGTTTTTCACGCAAAGCTCGATTCAAATCGATCGTTTGTCGTCGGTAGCGCTCGGTATTAACGGTTTCGCCAGGTTTTAACAGCTCGTAATAGATCACATCCTTCTGATCCCACCAAACACAGAGCATTGTCTTCCAAATTATTTTGGCGTGGTACTGTAACTTGGATTATAAGAGTTCATAGTATGTTTGATTCTAGTTGAATCTAATGCTTCAATCTAAAGGGTATTGTCTTTTTAATCTGCGGTCAAGTAATTGGGTAACTAATGGGTTTTGGTGGTTGTTAACTCTTATATTATATCTGTTTCTTATGTTATATCTGTTTCTGAACTTGGATATTTCTTCTTTAACTGTGGGTATCTCAAGGTCGCGATGTACTGTTTCGTTGGTAACATACCAAGGTGCATCTATTAAGGATTTTAGAGTTTTTGATTTTCATGACTAATGATCGGATTGATTCAGGTCTGGAAAGCTGGTCAGGAAATAAGCATAGCATGGCCTATCCATATGGCAGGAAATTGTTGATTTTCCCACCTTCTGGATCTTTCCCATGGCTTTCAAACGCATGGAGACGACTTCTTGTGTCACGTTTAATCGATCAACGAGTTGTTGTTGCGTTTGAGCGTCATCCTCGTCCAACGATGCTTGCAATTCGCTGTCTCGAAACTTTTTCGGTGGTCTTCCACGTTCTTCGTTTCTCGCGACAAAATTGCCACTTCTGAATTTTTTAAACCGCTCAAAGCACTGTGATTTACCAAGAGCATGCTCACCGTAAGCTTCGACAAGCATTCGATTCTGCAACAGTTTTCTTCAAATGGTAACAGAAAATCAATGCTGTCCGCAAATCGTAGTTTCCAGGCACAAAATTTGACATGTTCAACGCTATTACAAACTACGCTGTTGTATGAAACTTGTATTGTTCCGAGTCGAATGGCAATTGGTGGATGCCACGCCAAAAAAACTGTCGCTCTTTTGAGGCAAACCAGTCATCGAGCCATTTTCGTACATTTTCGTAAGAAGCAAAGTGCTGGTCAGAAAGTGCGTGTCCCATCGACGCAAATAAATAGTAATCGGACGGAGCCAAGTCTGGTGAGTAAGCCGCGTGCGAAAGTATTTCCCAACCGAACGCTTCGATCGTTTCCTTCACCGGTTTTGCTGTATGCGATGGTGCATTATCACGAAGCAAAATTACTTTGTGTCGCCTTTTTTGATATTCTGGTCGTTTTTCACGCAAAGCTCGATTCAAATCGATCATTTGTCGTCGGTAGCGCTCGGTATTAATGGTTTCGCCAGGTTTTAACAGCTCGTAATAGATCACACCCTTCTGATCCCACCAAACACAAAGCATTGTCTTCCGTCCATAGCGATTTGGTCTTGTAGTCGATGTCGGTGGTTCGCCTGGAGCTACCCATGATCTTTTACGCTTAGGATTCTCAAAATATATCCACTTTTCATCGCCAGTCACAATTCGGTGAAGAAATGACTTTCTTTTGTATCTAGTGAGCAACATTTCGCAAGTGGTTTTTCGGTTTTTCTGCTGTCTTTTATTCGGTTCGTGTGGAACCCATTTCCCCACCTTCTGGATCTTTCCCATGGCTTTCAAACGTATGGAGACGGCTTCTCGTGTCACGTTTAATCGATCAGCGAGTTGTTGTTGCGTTTGAGCGTCATCCTCGTCCAACGATGCTTGCAATTCGCTGTCTCGAAACTTTTTCGGTGGTCTTCCACGTTCTTCGTTCCTCGCGTCAAAATTGCCACTTCTGAATTTTTTAAACCACTCAAAGCCCTGTGATTTACCAGGAGCATGCTCACCGTAAGCTTCGACGAGCATTCGATGCGATTCTGCAGCAGTTTTCTTCAAATGGTAACAGAAAATCAATGCTGTCCGCAAATCGTGGTTTCCAGGCACAAAATTTGACATGTTCAACGCTATTACAAACTATGCTGTTGTATGAAACTTGTATTGTTCTGAGTCGAAAATGTTTGTGAGATGTCAAAAAAGACTTTTGGCATCAATGACGCAGTTTAGTGACAACTACATTATCAGCTAGGGCCATCTATAGATAAATTCCGGTTTCATACTTACAGGCCTGATTAGTGTTTAGTATCATAAAATAAACTGTGATTCGACACCGAGATCATATCGAGTATGTATTTATGTGAACTTTATTGTTTATTTCAGCTTGCTGATACTTCTCGCATGTTATGACTCGCCTTGTATATTGTATATACATATATTTATTTCTCCATTCATACATCATAGTTTTTGGATACACTCAATCGTCTTAAGCCTAAATTAAACTTGAACGATAAACGTAAAACCCAGGATCTACAGCCTATACATAGATATCTGCGGTAACAACGTTTCTATGGTTTTTATGACAACTCAGTTCTCTTACCAATTGCTCAGGTTTCCTACCATTCTATCCATGTATTTGTTGCTTTGTGTAAAAGAGGATGATTTAAATATCTTACTGCTTATTCTACGAAAATATGAATCATTTCTTGCAGCTCGAAAGTAAATAATTTCTCCCTAACAATACCTCTTATACAGATACAAATAGTAACAAATGGAGAGATATTTCCATGTTTAAATATCAATATAATTAATCGTAATGGTATTTTCTTTTTGTTAAAAGTTTCATCCAATAATTCTACGCATCTAATCATAAAATCGTTTTTAACTAGATCCACTTTCAACAACTTCAATCTCTCACTTCGTTATGTTCTCAGGTTCTGAAGTACTTTGAAGATACACGGCCACTTGAGAGTAAATCTATCGCGAGTTACACTCGATAGCGTTTGTCGCGAGTGACTCTCGAGAGCAGCTCGCGATAGTTTTACCTTCAAGTGGACGCGTACCTTTACGTCTTCAGCCTCGTCTACACTGACAGACAACTGCCCATAGACAACTTTCCACAGTTAATCTATGCACGTTGTTCGAGAAAAATCGGGAAATAACAGCAGATAAAATGCAAGTTTCCATTGCGATAGAAAATAAGGGACAACGTCTATGGACAGATGTTGGAAGAACGTGGAAACGACAACATGCAGTTCAATTTAATCGTCTGTACGCTGCCAGGCTTTGTTTTGATTTTCTTTCTTTCGCCACCGGTTCGGCAACAATTCTCGCCTTTCTTTCTATTTTCGGACAAACTTTCCGTAATAAAATGTCAAAACCAGTTTTCGACATCCTTACAAAATTCTTAAATCCAAGGCCGTCTTCTAGGCTTATTTCCGCAGGAAGATCGTTTCTATAGTGACAACTATTAATTGCGGATTTTTGTACAAATTCATGTTTTTGAGAATATAATTAAAAAGATATAGGCTCAGTAGGGAATTGTTTTACCTGTCAAGCATTATAGAAAGTGTTACGCTTTGTACATTTCATACATTTCTTCATATTATGTGCATTCTCTGCAATATTGTATTGTCAAATTTCCCACGAATCCATAAAAATCCGCAGTCTACTGACAGTCTTCGAATAAAAATCTCCGAAATAGTTTAACAGTTCTCTGCTTTATCTTCCGCAAATTACAGAATGTACAATGTGCCCCATAAGTCGCGATAGAAACCTTGCTCAAAGACACGGACCTGGACACGCTCCAACTTTATCACCAAAACTGAATCAAATATCTGACACCTGCGGCATTCTAAACTCTATCGGACATATCCTAATCATCTGTGCTAAATACGATATTGCACGACCCAACTAATTTGTCCAATGTGTTACAAAAGGAAGACTCGTGCGAGAAAGTTCTAAGTTTCCCCAAAGATATTGATTTGTACAACATATTATACGTAGGTATGCTCTGTCCCACTGATCATCCTCACCGTAGTCACTAATAATCTCGAAAGGTGCATGTGACCTTAAGCGCACAATAGAAAAAAAAGAGACATAACCGGAGACACTAATTAGGTGCGATTGCTGTAGCTGCAGGTATTATATTTTGTTTATGTCCACTTTCTCGTCTCGTTGGACAGGCTATAAGGGTGTGCGGGTACCCGAAATTATGGGTTGGGGCCGTTGTGGTCGTGCAAAAGGTCGGCTGATACAATATTACGAGTAGCCGGAACCCTCATTAGGCTTTAGCCTTTAGACTGCAACAGACAAACGACATCGTGTGCAGACAGTTTGCATACATGATCCAATGACTGGCAGCGGACACTGTACGAAGACTATTATCTACGGACAGTATCTGTGAGTTTTATCTTCTTTGTTATTTAATTTATACTTTACAATTTATCCAGCTGGACAGCTCTGTGAGTGTAGACGAGATATTCACGATGCATTCAGCAGAAGGTATTTTAGTCGACATGCTGCGGCCAGATTCTCTGGAAACAATATTCCTGTTTTTTGGTAAACGTATTCGGATTACTTGTCACGTCCAAACTCTCTCACGCGTCTTCCGAAAATTCGATCCTGTGTCACCCGATAGCTACGTGACTTCGAGCAGCCAGCTATCCTTGAACGTTTGGATTACTCATTCTCACGAAATCCCGCCTGACCATTCGCAGGCTAAAACTCTGCTATAAAATAGAAATAACGAGATAGAAAGGTAAAATATAAAACGTACATTTAGTATTAGCTGAATTGACTTTGACGATTTTTAATGATACGTTGCTGTTAATGCAAATATCATATGATAACGTTAATTACTAAAGTATAATAAAAATATTGAAAATAATGTATAATATGAATATTATAATTTCGTTTACCATGTAACGTGTACATAAACGTTTCTTGTGATTTAGTAGTAACTCTTTTATGCTTATAAAAATTTGAAATTATGTAAACGAAACGTAGAATCTGATAGAAAAAATTCCATTGGAAAAAAAGAGAGTATGTGGAAATATCTTTTGCAATGTCTTTATGTAAACACGTTACGTCACGAAGTTAAAATGGTTAAAAACGAGTACTATTATTTATATTAAATATTATTATATATATTTATGGCTGACAATGTACATACATATGTATTTATTTCTTTCGTTTTCTGTCCTGTCTATTTTCTCGTTTCACTGCATCTCACGCTGTTTCTACCAAATATTACATTGGACTAACAACTACATTCGCGAGGTTCGAGAGCACAACGGTAAGCCAAAGTAGCCAATCGCCTTTGTTTTGCAGAACTATGAAGTTGCCAAAGTGATTTATGAAAAAGGTTGTATTCAAGCTGGGGAGGAATGGGTGGAACGAAATCTTCTTGCAATTGTCACTGGGGCGGTTACCACGGCATTTGCACAGGTATAATTTATTATTTTCAACATATCTTTATGCTTGCTATTTAATTCATTAATTACACGTTATTTCTGTATCAAATCTGTGTTATTGATAATATTGTACTACATTATTATGATAATGTCACACTGTATTATTACGATAAACGTTAAATGTCAAATATAATACGAGAATCGTCCAGATAGTGATACCTGTTTTGACGTATTAATAACAATGCAAATGCATTTTAAAGATGTTTCTTTATTCGTAATTTTAGCATACGTACTTGGAATATTTATCGTAACGTGAGACGAGCTTTTTACCTTCGTTATACAAGACGATTCCACTAACGTTGGAATGTTGTGTTCTTTACTATGATGAGGTAAATATTGGATTGAAAAAGTAGACTTTCCATGCAATCGTTTGACTGGATTACTTACTGCAATGGTACCACTCTACTGCACTGAAAACACTGTTTACATTATTCCGGTTACGATCCAGTGCTGGATTGGATCATTACAATGTTACTAGACCAATGTAAACGCAGTTTTACGTCCTGAACATCCAGAAAGCGTAAAAGTGCGACAGACGGTACTTCGTTATCGACGGGATGTTCAATTTGCATCGTGATTTTAAACGAACGAAACTTCTACAATATTAGTTATTCAGACACGGAATTTGGTATGATTTGTGTCAACGTATGATTGAAGCTAGCTGGCCCTCTATAAGCACATTGCGTCGTTTTATATGACTTTACTTTCTGGACGACTCTCGTATCTAGACTGCGGATTATTATGTATTTATGATAAACTTGAAAGTGCAAAAATCCATGAAAATAAGGAACTGCATAAAAATCCGCTGATAATATCGATTCTTTCGTTGTTATTTTATTGCTTATCTTGAAAAATTCTTCGAAAACTGAAAGTAAACTATTTTTTATTTTATAGTTCGTACACGTGATGAATTTATTGGATTTGCTATAACGTATCGGCGTTGTAATTCAAATATATTTTGTATTAACCGCATATACATATTTGGGCATGTATACGCATCGAAATGCTTGAAAATGGGAAAACATGTTGCACGAAACCAACAACGGAAGCAATTTGTTACCTACGTTAATTTCTGCCGAAAGATTAATATTCACACGCTCGCTGCTAATAAGATAGCACACGTGTACTATCATTAGATTCTCTTCGAATTTCAGAATTCCTGAAATTTTACAAATAATACACAGGAAACACCTAAATATCATTATTAAATGGTCGCATAAAAAAGCTCCAGACGACAAAATTACACTTGGAGGACCAGATGCAATGACAGATGAAATCTTTTCTGCAAGTAATTTTTTTTTAGGAGACTTGGAGGTTATTTTCTTTTTAATGAAATTACGTATTATTGTGCACACCAGTCTACATGCTTCTTTATCCTTTGTAAAAGCTGTTAAAGTGTTCGTATCTAAAAATTACTATTGCAAAAGATATTTTAACTTGAATTTCGTTAAACTTATTGTATGAAAGACAAAGAAAATCGGAAGACAGAATTGCTTGCAATTTTCCTTGTCTTCTATAGGCAAATTCAACAAAATTAACAGTGTATTCGATATAATATCTAAATATCATTTGATTTTTATATTTCATCTGTAAAAATGAACCTCTACTCCACTTTTTATTAATCTCCGAATTTCGTTATATAATTAAATGCATGATTAATATTCAATTTTCAGGAGGAGAATGATTTACTTTCATAAGTTCAAACAATAGAAAATTCTGAGGCAAATTTGGAAAACAGCGTTCGTAATATCATCACTTTTATCTACTTTGTAATTTTTTGTTGAGTGATCTAATATAGCTTCTGAACAATTCGAATATGAAAGCCAGCGATATAATGTTCAGCTTTACAATGAAATATTATCACAAGATAGTATCTATACCACTCGTCGAGTAATTCTAAATCTATCCCTGAGAATCTAGCGATAGCACACGAGTACTATACTTTTGTCGAGAAGCATATTTCTCAATTACTTGTAACGATTATCATATTACTAATGGCATTTTATATAAGAACACTGGAAGCACAAGTTATTTGCAAGATTATTGTCCATTATTAGATATCACGTATCAATTGAATAATTTTACTGTCGTTAATAAAATGTTAATGAAATTTTTATGTTATTTCCAGATTCTGGGAATCTGTTTCGCTCAAAATCTTCGAGCGGACATATTCGCACAAAAAGCAAAGTGGCATTGACAATTTCGGGCCCCCACGGCGGTCTAGCATCTTATACTAATAGATGCTGATCAGTTGCGTTGATCGAACTGGAAAAGTCGTCGAAGATCTCGAGAACTAACAGACCTTTGACGTAAAAATCGACACAGTTCCACGTGGAAAGTGCAGGATTCAAGATCCAGACGTCCGAACCGAATCGACTAAAGATACAGATATTTTTTCACTCTTCAATTGCTGACACAATTACGAAGACTGCGTACTTCGACGAGCTTCGTGATTTCGTGCAAATACATCACTCATGATCACGTATAAATGTTTATAACTAAAGTCTCGACGTTTTATCATTCAACGTTTATATTGCATTTTATAAATTGACAAGCGAATCGTTAAGCGACGAATCACGTTTAAAGGACGATCAAAGTTCCAAAGTTTCAGTGATAATTATCATTATTAAATTATCACAGCAGCGTATCATTTAGTTTATAATGACGATATAGCTCAGCTTAATGCGGCAACTTGTTGCATATCCTCAACTATTTTATTGCCAAAATGACGCGAAGAAAACGGTGTCAAAGTTCCATCGCTGTTTCGTTTTATTTCTGTATAAACTTATGGCGAATTTTATGACAAACCAGAACCGTTATCAATCAAACCTTAGATTCTTACATTGCAATTACAATTATTGCTCTTCCTTATTGTTCTATGTTAAGGGATTATTCGAGCTGATCGGATTGAACACTTCTTGTGAGTTTACGTGCTTTCAAATATTGCGAACAATCTATGTTTAATTTATGTTTTTGCGTACTTTATAATCAGGCTGAGGATTTTTATACATTTCTGCGAAAAAGAACGCAGAAATGCATAGAATGCATATACCCAAAGTAGAGTACTCATTATATTTTCTAATAGATAAAACGAATCTCTATTGACTCTCTATTACTACGAAAATATAAATTTGCATAAAATCCATAGCCTATTTATACTCGCAACAATGACAAGTAGCGCGCTGTATTTTAGTTTAAGGCACTTTCATACATCATCGTTTCATCGTTATAATACAAGAAGCGTATGAGCAAGAAGAAGAAAAATAAAGAAATTTGCTTTGAAGAAGCAAATCAATTGTAAAATACGATTCGTTCGAGGACTATAAAATGCGTAAATTAACAAATCGTCGAAAGTAATGCGTGTATTTGCAGCGAAAAGAGTGTTGTTCAACTTATCAGTAGACTGCGAATTTTTGTGCAAATTCAAGTGTTCCAAAATACAATAGAAACTGTAGAACTTGTGAAGAATATCAGTTTACATACAAAGTATTATAAAAAAGCCCTATGCTTTGGATATCTTACATATCTTTTCATATTACGTGCATTCTGAGCGATTTTACATTTTCAAATATCCCATAAATGCATAAAGGTCCGCAGTCTACCCATCAATTTTCTCAAACCTTGCGCAAGCCATTTTCGTATTTTACGGTCTACTGGACGTTCCTTGATACTCGGTTTGCGCCTGTCATAATTATAATTTGAGCGAACAAGGCGGAAAAAGACGTTGCCTCGGACTTTTCCGATTCTTCGTCGAGATCGATACCGTTCTTCTGTTCTTGACGAAGGGAAAGTCGATGAGTTCGGATAAGGCGCGTAGAAACGAGAGAAAGGGACAAAGAGCAGAGAGCAGAAGAGACAAATAAAGCAGAATAATGCCTGCTCGGTTTACGAGGAACGGTGTGTCGAGGCATTAAAGTCGATTGACGTGATGTCGTGGGGGCGCGGTGAACACGACTGAGCTCACCGCACAGCAAATTCTTGTGGCATGGCCACGAGAGTAAAAGCCATATAACACGCAAGTGTACAATAACCTTCTGTTGCTCCAATTGATCGTTAAAACGGTTGCTCGAGCCACATTGAACATATTGATCCTGTGCTACATGCCGACACGTTCCCTCCATCGGTAGGCCAGGTGCCTGTCGTATCGTATATGCTGCTGTCACGTGGCTAAATTATATCGACGAGAGACAGTAGCGGTGCTAGTTACTCTATGAATTAAAAAATATTGGCCCCTTAATTAATATGGACCAGTATGCAGATTCGTTCATTAACTGCCAACATTACACTCTGACACATCCTTTCTTCATTTTTTGACAAACAGGGCAAATATGTGTCAGAGTATCTCAACTAACAGCGAACACATGCGGTGACTAGTAGTATATGTATATATTCACTGATTCACTTTTATATTTTACCTTCTAAAATGCCGTATCGGCTTCTTTTGCGTTGATTCTGTTTTACCGACTTGATCCACTGATTCGTGTAATTTGGTTCCTAAAGTTCGTTTTACATACTTCTCTAGTTTCCCGGTTGTACTTTCCTCTTTTATTTTCTCTTTTTCTTTGTTATTCCCCGTTCAAGCAGTGTATTTTTATAACAGCGCAAGTACGTTTAAACAGTGCGTTTTCCTTCTCGAATAGATAAAAATGGTTTGCGGCTCTAAAACAACAATGCCATGCTTGTAAATATTCAATGTATACATGCATACATTTGTACATACAGAGTGTTCTAGTTCTTTTTGGGAAGACGATGCTAGCGTGTTTCACAAGTGAAGATAAGAAAAATAAGTAAATGTTTACTGAAAAGTTATAACTGGATTGCGGATTTATATACATCTATGGAAAACTTTAAAGTGGAGAAATATATAAAATGCAGGTAATATATAATAAATGTTCAAAGTGAAGTAATTGTTATCTTTTATGGGTAAAACAGATGTTTATGTAGGTTTCATTGCCTTAGGTATGTAAATAAACATATGAAATCGCATACAAATCCGCAGTCTAGTTACAACAAATATACAGAATGATAATTGGTAATTGCTTCCTTTAAATGTAATAGTTAAACGAACATCAGTGTAAGCACTGGATGAGTTCATTTCTTGAGTTCCAAGATAGGATATTCCGCTGTTGAACTTTTATTTAAAAGATACGCGCAAAAACTGCTACAGAAATAGTTCATAATGTATTCACTGAATTGAAAAAGAACCGACAAGAAACTCGCAATGCAAAAGTGTTTGTAATTCAATAATTTCAAGTGGAACTAACATAGATTCCGCGAATCTGTTTCTACTTTATCGATCGAAAAACTGGAGCGTTGTTACTTCGTAATTTTGTTACAACTTCCCAAAAAATTATTTGTCACGCTACGTTTAGAACTCATAGACTCTTCGCAGCGTATGCTCGCATCGTTTTGCAGAAAAACTGAGACATTCTATATATCTGTAAACGTACCAAACGGAGCGTTCGTATCTTTTGCGTTCCTAATTCTCACGCGAACGAATGAAGAAAGAAGGAAAAGCGTCAAACTCTCTACGCTAAAAGACAAAATAGAAAAATGCATAGGTACTAAGGCGAAGCAAAAGAATGTTTAAAAATTTAAAAACTAGGATCTTCGTAAGAAGTATCCAATTTGTTTCGTCGAATTTCAATAATTCCCGGATATAACTTAAATTAACTAAACTAAACAATAAATTATAGTTGTTTATAAATAGCAACCACTTGTTATTCCTTGAATTAAGATGGATCATTTGCAAAATTAAAAGAAGAAATGTTATCGTTTACAGGAAATCAATGTTGCTAGAAAAGAGTAGCGTACTCGTTTTACACGATGTTTAACTGTTGTTCAAATAACCGAAGGAAACGTATTATACATTATGGATTAGGTTTGCTGTAAACCAGGCTTGTAGAGTGAACAATACTTTAAAAGATATATATTTCCAGAAAATAGTAATAATAATGAAAGAGAGAATACAAATATAAAGGATACTTGCGAGAATGACAATCATATCGAAATATAAAACAACAAAATGTAACTTACAATGTCTTGTAATATTATATTAAATTGCGTACGTGTTTGAATCGTTTCTCACACTTGTAACTAAAGCAGTTAGTTTCAATGAACATATGCAATAATTCTAGTCCGTCCGTTTGGTACATCAATCTCGGATATGAATTAAACTTTTCAATTGATCGCAATAACGGGACGTGTCGGCACCACACATTGGTCCAACTTGTGTGCAAATTCTCGAAACAGCAAATTATTTCGTTGAGACGTTTGAAAAAAAGGGTGAAGGATCGGGAAATAAATCAATGAAAATACGTCTGAAAATTCGATCGGTTGTCGAAAGATTGGTCTTTACGTATAATTTAGCGAAGGAACAACAATTATATGAAAGTATCGAGTCCAAACTAGTGATAGCATTTAAACATAGCAAAGAGCGGCTGGCCCGCGAACTTGGTGTTTTCAGTTTCAATGAAAATACTGTTTCATAGAGCGGAGTATCAAGAGATATCTTTAATCTTGATTTTCTTGTTGTTTCCCGAAATAATTTTTATACGAATATGTACATATGTACATATGCATTAAGATGATTCTTAATCTTACAAATAATTGATCTGAACGAGAATTATTTCTCTCTCATCTCGCGGAATTCTTCTAATCTGTGATATAATAATAAATGAGCCAAATCGGTTGACTCGACGAAACAGAAAGCGAAAAATCTTGATGAACAGCGACCAAGTGCTTTGGCATTAAAATATCGAAAATTTTAAAAACAGGGTATAACCACTTTGGCCTGTGAACGACTCAAATAATGCCTCGATAATTCAAACACGATTGGATAACAATGAAGTGTACTCGAAAAGTATCCAAATTTAAACAATATGATATTTTAACACGTAATCCATACTCTTTCACTGCGTTGTTCAAAACTTTTAGTGCTTCTACTGTTTTTAAATCTTTCTCAAAGCTATAGCTATAAGACTTTTAAACTAGACTGACGAGCCCAAGGCTGAAGTATTTATGCGTTTTATTAAACAGGATTATGGAGATCTAGAAGCAATATTAATTGCAAATTGTGATACCGCTTGAATAAAAGGACTTCCAAACTGCTACAGTTAAATTTGGAAACTTCTGGAATACATTTTGTAACGTTTCGATCAAACTTATGGCATTAAAATGATAGTTGTTCATAGATTACAATAATTCCGGTGCATGAGAGCAAACGATTTCCAATGAAACATAAGAACCAAGTACATCATACGAGATGGTCCGTATAAAGTATTATGAGTTGTTTTCCAGAGGATTGTTAGACATAGTCGCCACACATTTTCTATTTAATAATTCACCTAATTTAATATTCATGGATGAAGGAAACTCTGTCGTTAAATGATCCTAAAGAGAAAATAGTACCATGACTGTGATAAGAGAAACAATGGAAGAAGAGAAGAGAGAAGAGAAGAGAGAGAGTGTGTGTGTATTTGACCACAACCTGTTAGTGAACTCATCTGTTAGGCTACCTACTATAACTGAAAGCGATACAATAAGATCACAAAATCGGCCAGTGGTTAAAGTTTACAGTTTTGATCACCGCAATCATTAATTTTAAATGTATTGGGCTCATAAGGACCCTAGGGCTTCGTTTATGATCAGTCAGGCGATATCAATTCTAGAACTACTTCTTCCTCTCTAAAAAGAAAAATAATCTCCTTATTTATAATCTCTATTCCGGTTTTATGACTCATTGTACGACACGTTGAACTAAATGATATGAGAAATAGATTTTAAAAAACATAGGTGTAGCATACACCTACTAGTTGCGTCTAGATCAATAGACAGGCGATATCAACTCTAAAACTATTCCTTCCTCTCTATAAAAAGAATATGTCTCTCTATTTATAACTTCTATTCCGGTTTTATGACTCATCGTATGAAACGTTGAACTGAATGATGATAGAAACTGATTTTAAAAAACGTGTGTGTGGCACACTAGTGGCACACTCTTTATGTCGTTTTCACCTGCTATATTTTAGACGCTGAGGTAGTAAAAGTCAAGGTGAAGGATTGTATATAACTATAGAAAAGAATAGTAGGACGAGTAGGAGAATTGTAACTCCAGTTTTCTTCTTTAATGAAATCACATAGACATTTTCATATGTATTAATTTGTAATAATTTCATTCTATAAATAATTCAAGGAATGAAAGAGTGGTTAATTTGAATTTGATTTTAATGAATGTTTAAAATGCTGTTTTATGAGATTTATAACAACAACTGTTTACACACTTGTGAATTATTATTGTTACAATTCTTATAACTGTCCTTCATTGCATAGAAAATAAGGGAAATTCATATATCGTATCATCTGTTTCTCATTTTATGTGTTTTCTATAATTTATACACCGACGATGACTGATGCGTTATTTAGAAGTATAAGAAATGTTCCTAGGACTATAACAAATTTCATTTTTCCATAAATTGCGAAAAATATGAAACAGCGATATAACGATACATTTTAAAACCAGTAAAAGTTTCTATATATGTGTATGTCCAATAGTACGTATTATACTTAGCAACTTAGGTAATATTGAAAAATTGTTGTAAATTTCTACAAAGCTGCTTCGATACTGTCCTATAGTACAGCTGTATTCCATTTTCTGAAATCTTTTCTTAAGTTGAAGGAACAGGAAATAGAAAAGAACGTCCATTTTACTCCTTGGAGAACTCATTCGTTCTCTGAAAGTATTCGGTGAATGATTAAACGTTCGATAAAATATTTCCTTCTATTAATCCTCGAGAAGATAACTTACAATACTTTGCGCGGATCATCTAAAATTTAAAAGGCAGAATCATCTAAAATTTAACAATCGTAAACGTGTTGACCGTCTTTTGATTCAGATATACATATATGCTATGTATAGCGTAAAGGCTTAAATATTTTATACTATTGGATCCTGTGTTCAGATACAGTACATGAAATGTATCTCCAAATTTTTGTATAGCTGGTCGCAATGTGCTAGTTAGGTTGGTTAAACATTTGTCGAATCGTAATTAACATAGCAATAACTCAAAGAAGAATATTATCGTTGTTTGCTCATAATGCATTCATAATTCCGATGCATTAAGAATAGTTTCTACTATAACGCTATGATGATAATACGTGATGTTAAATAGTCAGATTTCTCAAGTATACTAAGTTAACTGACGATTGCAATTTCTGCCACGCTGCGAACGCAGTGGATCGGAGTTAAAGTGGGCAGAGCCTTTGTAACTCTCAAATATACAAAGGAGTCATACAGTGATAATGTTTTACGAAACACGCATATTTTATATAGTTAATTCATTTATTAATTCTCGATATCTCATTATAAAAATCTGTCATGTATCTAAAACTGTTTTGTTAATTAAGTAACTACCTATTAAGATCCGACTCTGTCTATGTACTAAATAAAGTATTTTAAACTTAATTTTAAGTTTCAGAAACTTAAAATTACAACTACAACAGCGTTCATAGAAATATAGTTTCTATAAAATCTGATTAGCATATGGACTCATTTATAATTCTTTTAACAAGCGAAATGTTATAACGAAGCTCTTGATCATTCCGTACAATCGAATAAGCAAAACAAGACAAATTGTGCGCTTTGTATCAGCATCAGCATATACATATATCTTCTAAACTATGCTGAATGCAATGACTAATTAAAACTTCGTATAGTTATGTATATTAACTTAATTTGCCAACCTGATCCGATATTCTTCGCAAGATAGATCATCTTTGGACGAAGAATATACGGATCACGTAATAAGTATATGCGTATTTGTTTAAGTTTCTCTGACGTATTATTAACCCTACTGCGGTTCTCCGATTTTTCCGTCTCGTCCCTATGTCGACAGATACAAACGCTTTTAACGTTCTAGGAAAATTTGTAACATAATATTCAAAGAAGGAATTTGCATATCAGTAACGATTGTTTCATATTTCCTCTGAACTGAGGAAACTTTTTAACGCTGGAAGTATACAGGATCGAGACGAGGATGAGCCGAGGAACGCAAAGTAGAGTTAATAATAGGTGTACAAATGAATAATCCAATGAAATGAATAATCTTCAGTGCTCAAAGTCCAAAGCTCAGAGCTGTATATCGAAAAAATACCGCAAGTAGTTCAATCAAAGTATTTGTCGCTGCCTTTTATAACTTCAAGCCACCTATTTAGGCAAGCGATGAATTCCATCACGAGAAAATGTGTCTTTGGATTCATTATAGATTCATTTATAGAATTTACATTCATCATAGAAGATCCGATCGTCAGGACACTGATAAGTGCAGGGCACGCAGATTATTTGCGTTGCTTACATTACACGTAGTTTACGTATATGAACTTGGAATATTCGTATCTTGATATCAATAAATTGATAATATTTAATATATTATAATCAGATCGATATGTTACAGCTTTTCAAGGATGAGCGTATGACTTTGCAAATCGCTATTGCGCGATTGTGTAATACTACGTTACATGAGAATGGGAGACAGTAATTCACTTTTTGGAGTTGCCTAATGAATAGTTAATAGTTGATTAATTAAATAGTAACAAAAATGGCATTGCCACAATACACGATCTATCAATCCTGACTTTCATGACCACACTGGCACTTAGGGTCGCTTATTATACCTGTCCAGGCTGATGAGATGCCCAGGTTGTAATGGCCTGACCTACACATATTGGTTGCCAT